TGAACCCAAGAATGAACATCCTTATGATCACCTACAATTATTCACTATCCAGTCTTCACCGTCCGAAGACCCAGCAGGAAACCAAATTTACCATGAAAACGATGAAAGAAGACGACAACAATCTACCGAAAATATTGCTATAAGTCGTCATATGTTATCCGCTGTGATAGCTTTTCTGGCCTTATCCTTCTTGACAGTGGTTGCTACATTGATTTTAACTATAAGGATGATGCCTACAGGAGCAAGTGAAACTAAAGGTAATTTTTAGATACTAATTTGAAGTGATTTTCTGTAACTCTGGCAGGCTCAAAGTTCGAAAATTAGATTCGAGTTTTACCCCTATACCACGATACTTCGATTCCGACAATTCTTGGTATGTAGTCTTGAAATGGTGTCCTAAAACTGAATTGATATTGATTTATTCGCTTTGAATTCTCTTATCTTTACTTTGAAAGATATCGAGAGGAGTCTTCGAGGAACCGCAGTTAACTGTACTCCCTCTTAAGGCATTAATTGAGGCTTTTTCGCTGAAAATAATCTAATCATTACTGATACAGCTGTAAAAGACTATAGTGCACTTCTGATCTACTAACATTAGCATGAAAACAGTTAGCTCTATGATAAGAACGACTTAAACGCCAAACAGCATATTTTAGGTACTTAGAATGTATCGCCCAATGTAAGGTAATCCGCATTCTGGAACCCGGGAAATTTTTGCTTTGGAATCCGAAATAGGAATTCATAGCGGATGAGGAAGCGTAATTAGTAATTGAGAGCTTGCTCGCAGGCTATGTACGTAATTGGGAATATAATTAACAAAATGAAATGGACAGCCATCAATGACACAGCCCCTTTTTTACGCGCTTCTCTCTTGCCGATTTAAACTTCCCGCGTGCCTCTATAACTCGTTTGACGCTCAGGATAAGCGTGAACCAGTTCTTCCTTAATTACAGCGGGGTGTTTCCCCTGTAGCAAACCCAAAAACTGCTTCTTCTTCTACCATACATGTCTCTGGTCAAATTGGTATTATATGCTTTAATGTAAACTCATTATTTATCTGTTACGCAGGTATGGCTGAGGTAAAACAACAGCTGACCGAGTTAAGACATGAAATAAAAGCTTCGAAAGTAAATCAAACTTGAGGAGAAGGTAGAGTGTTTGATAAGGGTAGGGTGAAGCCAACTTGCAGAAAGTAAAGAGTAGAAGTTGTAACCAAACTGATCACTCCTTTTCCGAAAGCATATTTATCTTGAAGAGAAAATTAATTTTATGTAGTAATAGTCATTGATATAGATTGCAAGTTCTATGAAGTTCTGTGAAGGAATGAGTGTCTTAATTGCTTGATAGGAGAACCCGAGGTGGTCCTGTTACGTTTCATTAGAAAGGGGTTGTATCATGAGAATTCTACCAATTCTAGCGTAAGATTACCCTACAATCATGGAAAAAAATCTTGGGACAAGTTTGTTCTTGTAACACTTTTTTTACACACACAAACGCACCCCCCCCCCCTTCCCCACACACACACACACCAAACAAACAGTCGCTCGCGAATAAACCTAGACTTGCTCAGCCCGTCCCCCATACCTACAATGTGGGCCATTCTACACCAACGCATGTCGGAAAGGGTGTAGCATCGCTTGTTCAAACTTCAGTTGTAAAATATAAACACTAGAAATACGTGTCTCCCAAACCCTCGCGAAAGTCAGTGTGCCACTTAAGTTAAACTTGCTTGACGGGGTTGGAGATATTTATTGAGCCTACTCTTGTTTCTGCTTCGCGGTGCGAAGCTCGCACGTTCCACGCGCGAGTTAGGAACCTCGGCTACGCGAGGGCCTTCCATTCTCTCTCCGCGAAGAGTAATTCATGGCTTAACCTTGTCGTCCTAAGGATTTTTGGATACAATTGTAGAATTAAACTACTTACACTCGTTGATGCAAAAATGGCCCCTCCTGCATCTAAACATAAGCGTGTGCGAAGCTCAAGAAATTGAATTTGACTTAATTCTGACTGTCCTGAATGGTGGATTAGTTGTGGTGTTATTGGTCGTCCGTCGGTTATTGGCTTTCAGGACTCTAATTTCGATCCCTCTTTTGTCACAGTTACAACGGTCGTTTTATTGTTAGTCAAATTGTCAGTTGTTCATTCACTCTACTGAAGCCAGTCTTGCTTGAGTCCGTTGATAAGTCGTTTTGAAGGTGCCGGTAACTTCTGACTACGATTCAGCCGCGTTTGTTCCCAGTTGGTAAATCAGCTTTCTAAAGTGAGTCGTTGATAGCAGTCTGAGAAATACGTAAGGCAGGTCGTAGAGTCAGTGTCGATTTGGTTGTTCGTCCGTAACTAGTGTTCAACAATATCATCATAGCCATAAACATCACGGCTTAACTGACAGATGAACAACAACATCACGACTTAATTGACCAGCCAGATCGATAAACTACGTCTATAACTAGAAATACGTGTATCGCAGAACTTCGAGAGGCTCAGGCTCATAAAATGACAGGGATGGGAGGGCGGGAGAGAATTGGTGAAAAGTGTAGCTGAGGAGGGCGGGATCCAACACTGGCTCTAATATGACTAATATTGGAAGGTGAGATGTACTTAATTTCCTTTTGGTTGGAGTAAATTTGGACCCCGTTCTTTGGCTAAAAGGATCTTCTGGGATTTAAATGGGATTGCTGTTGTCGAGGAAAGGTAGCCAATGTTGCATTAGTCCCGTGTTCACCCCATTTGACCCTTCTACATTTGTAATTATAGTCAAAAGGAAATGGGTGTGATAGTGAATAACTGCAAGCTCTTATGCAGTTGCATTTGCTCAATATTTGGGTTAGATGCCATCTCTAATAATAAGTGTAATTATAATTCACTATTTGTGAAGTGTGACAGTAGTAGTGAGTGAATGCCAAATGGTAGGAGATTATGCTGCGGTGAAAACAACAAGTAAATGCTAGAAATTCGAGGAAAAAAATATATTATATTGTTAAGTGAACTACAACAATGAGAGTGTTTGCACTTGTTTTAGTTCATAATCACACTTGACAACTAATTGTTTGTAAGTAACAGTAAAGTGCAAACATAATCACTGAAATAGAAATTACATGTAGCAATGTCTTAAGAGTGCAGTTCATGAAAATTATGAAAGTGATCATGACTATTGAACGCAAAAGTGAATCATGAAATGTCCACGTACAAGTCGTGTTGAAGGTGATCAGTTTCTCAATTCTCAACATGCATGAGCTTGTTGAGACATGGTTGCCAGAGGCATAGTTTTTGGAATTCCCAGACTGATCATGACAGTCAAATGTACACTTTCCTGACCAAACGAATTGACAATTTGTGCAGACAATGGTTTCTAAACTCCAGTCAAAACCTCGTGTAGTGGACACAAATGACGTAAAACAAAAGACTTCTTTGTTGTCTGTTCAGGGAAAAATCTGCTTGGTATTGTTTCATGGTTTTTGTTCTTTTGTTTTACGTCATCTGCGTCGGGTACACGAAGTAAATGACGAAACTCCCATCACAACCGGCCATCCTCTCCACCCATTTTACATGAATTCATCGTAAATGTAAAGTGCAGAATGGATAGATCTTGTAGGAAACCGTATATCTGCTTGTCGTTTAATTTCTTGAAACAATATTCTGCCAATGGAACATGTCTAACTTCTGTGAGTATGTCACCTCCCTGTGACTTCTATGAAAGAGTTAAATTTTCCCTGACTTATATTGTCATACATGTCACAAACTAATATTCTGAGGAGATCCGAAATACACATGTTACTTTGATTTCTCAATCTCACAAGCTCATTTACATTTCGCACCCCCTTATGACTACCACTCACTACTCACCCCACCCCTCCCCATCGAACGCACTCCCCAAATTAGCAATTATTACTAGTATAAACCTATTGCTTTTTTTGCTCTTCTCGTTGCCGTCGCTGTCACCGTCGTCGTTGCTCAAGCTCCCTATTGTTGTGATCTGGTAATTTTGCTACCATAGTAACCTGACGTCACACGTCTCCATTCTATTTTAAATAATTTTAAGGTGATTTCCTGGTTTTGCACTGCGCATCTCTTACTGGGCATAACAAGATGGCCGCCGTAAAAAAACACATGTGAAGTAACATTATTAAAATGAAGTTGACTGAAGAGAAACGTTATTGCAATTTTTGCTAGCGGTTGTTTCCTTCCGAAGTGAGACTCAATGTGTTGGGAATGTGCATAACGTAAGCAGTACGCGTGTTGCTGAGTTCGACATCCTCACGGAGAACCTCGATAGTGGATGTTTAAATTGTGCTTACTCACTTTGATTTTCATTTAAACGCTTTCTTTATCACATTGTGTCCTAAATGTGATATCTCGATGTAAATTATGTAAAAAAGGATTTTTTAATACTTTCTTCCCCCTTTCACATACATTCTATTTTGAAACTCGCCCCAGTCCTGTCTCAAAAATCGGAGAAAATGTATTTGGTGTGCACTTTCTGCAGCTCTACCGCAAAAACGAGTACGGTGACCCCCATCTTTTATTTCATGATTTTAATAAGGACAGTGCTTCCTTTCGATGAGAAAAAAATTGGCACAAATCTATGTTCACTTTAATGGCAATTTTACTAAATTGTATGGATTGAGCTATCACGGGTCAAATAGCGCGTGTCCAATTTAATTCTACTTTAGAGCGTAAAGTAAAAACAAGGGCACTAAAAGGCATTTTTCTGGTACGTAAGTGGATAAACAATGCATTCAAGTCAAATTCTGTGCGATACCACATGCATCATTGAAAAAACTCTCCTTTTTGTTTAGTTTTGGGCTGCTCGCGGTTTTTGTCAAAGGGTCCAAAATAGCCGTATTTGTCAGCATTGTGACGTCAAAACGAGCACGGTGACCCCCACTTTTTATTACTTTTTTATCATCTTCTTGACTTGTTACATCAGTGTACCAAGTTTCATCTACAATCTATGTTAGGTTCTTTTACTAGGGAATCACCTTAAGGTCATCTTTCCTAAACAGCTAATAGGAACTGTGCTGAGCTATACAAAGCTGGCCAAACAATCAGCGGTGTGTACACAATCGACCCTGATGGTAAAGGTGCCTTTAATGTGTTCTGTGATCAAGAAACAACCGGAGGGGGGTGGACAGTGTTCCAGAAGAGGCTGGACGGCTCGGTTTCCTTTCGACCGTTACTGGGATGACTACAAAATTGGGTTTGGTAACCTGAATGATGAGTTCTGGCTTGGATTGGACAAGATTTACCGCCTGAAGGAAAAGAAACACAACTGCCTTCGAGTTGATCTGGAGGACTTCACATCCAGCACTGCTTACGCTGAATATGACATGTTTGCAGTTACAAACGAAACGACTAAATACAAGCTCAGTCTAAGAACGTTCTCAGGTATCGTGCTTGGAATGTATTTAATTTTGATGTATAGCATTTTGTCTTCGTGTCTTAATTATTCGTTCAAAGCTTGTTTGTAAGTAAGTTTCAAAAGGAGCTCAGTTACTTTTCCAAACGTAGCCCCTCTCTTGCACTTCAATACTAGATTATATTCAGGTATTCTACCCCAAACATTCCTGCTAAAATGTCCTTGTATGACTTCTAGGAACTGCTGGTGACTCATTATTGGTGCATCGTGGCTATCCGTTTTCCACCAGAGACCGAGATCATGATACTGCTAAAGCCAACTGCGCTTCGCATTTCCAAGGAGCCTGGTGGTACACTAATTGCCATGATTCAAACCTGAATGGTTTGTATTACAACGGTTCACATCCACATAAAGGTCAAGGTATCGTCTGGAATACATGGAAAGGAATTCAGTACTCTCTCAAGAGAGCTGAGATGAAAATCAGACCGACCGACTTTTAGAACTTTTACGGTACCCTAGGACGTCTTGTTTACGTTTTATTTTCCAAGTAACAAACAAAATTTCTTGGTAAAATACCGCATTTACTCGAATAAGCGCCGCCCCCGATTTAGTGCCGCCCTCAAATAAGCGCCGGATTTGGGACAAAAATAGTTAATAAGCGCCACCCCCAAATACGCGGCGCGGCCCCGATGCAATCAAAACCAAAAGACGTTTCTGTTATAAAATAAAATAATATCGGTTACTGAAAAGAAACAGTTCTTTGTCGCCCCCAACTTTAAAAAAGAGCAGCCTCGAATAAGCACCGCATTTGAGACATGAAAATTTTAATAAGCACCGTGGCGCTTATTCGAGTAAATACAGTAATGTCAAAGGAATCGGTGATTATAAAACAGCTTTAACCCATTTTCATTGCCATCGGCATTCATAGGCGTCTTAGTAACACGTCAGCATGCGACGTTCACTAGAGAATGAGATTTTTGTTATCATGGATGGGAAGTTTTTAATCGTAATTTGTAGTTTTTATTAATAGTTTGTAATAGTTTTTATCCTTTTTTAGGATATTTTTCTATTAGCTTAGTTAGGACTAGTTTTAAGTATTCTTAACATATTTTTATATTTCTTTTTGATCTAGGGCCTCTAAGGGTATCAGTTTTTGTAACTGTAGGAGTTACCCTAGCTAAATAAAAGTATCTTCTTCTTCTTCTTCCTCTGTCTGATAGAAAAATGCATTGGTTTAACCAAAAAATCGAACGCAGAAGCAGTTTAGTCCAGTAGCCGAGGTCGGAAAATTGTCGTTTCGTTCAACCCACGGGTCAGAAAAGGCCTGATGCCGGATTTTGGTAGATCAAGTCCTCCTGATTATTGCCCAATAATTTGTAAGGTCAATTTGTGGTATAGGTTTCGAGTAAATGGCGATTTTATTTCATGCACTTTACGGTCCAGCATGAAAACGAGGCTGGAACTTGAATAACCATTTACCTCCTAATTCTTTCTTAAAAAATCGCTAAAAATGGTAACTAATTAACTTAATGTTCAACGACGTTGACCTCTTTCTCAGTTGTGCTTAGTATAGAATACTCTTATGAGGTTTTTCACAAGTTGCCATCTTGGTGTGCGAGTGCGCATGGAATTAGGGACAACTCATAGCACAAACCTTCCTTCAAATTGATTTGTTGGGTGTTAATATGTAGCCGCCCAAAGAGGTCTTTGTCAGCGTTATACAGTAATAACCTTGTCATCTGCAGCCTTAACATTCTCTCGGACATGGTACTAAATGTATTTACCTTTAAGCTTGGAACAGGATCCCAAAGATTTACAGTATTAGTGTTCAAAGATTTTCGTCTGTTCTCGACCTGTTTCATCACTGCTAACAAGGCCCTCTGCAACATTTGAAGACAAATCAGTTCTACGCCGGTAGCAAAGTTGACTAGAGACTCCATTTCTTGGACGAAAGGGTTACTCAATAAACCAGACAAAACGAAAATAGTCAACAAGCTTCCTGACGTCTTCTTATTCGCGCGTCAATCTCTTCGATGCGGCCTTCTTGTGTTGTTACGTGGTCACTTTCTGTCAGAACCACACATCTTTTTCACAGCTATGAGGCTCTTTGGTGAATAGTTAGAAACAATCTTTCTAGCGATCGTGGACTTTGAGATATGCCAACACTCCCACCCTTTGACTTCGAGTCAGCTACGTAGATTGCTCTAGGGTTGTGTCAGCTGAGACACGAGAAAATGCCTGATCGTTGCGGCTAATGGAGTGATTTTCGGCAACAAATTCTTGATACACTTTTGAGTGTTGTGACTCCAGTTGCTTCATATACCAGCAGAGTAAACTGGTAGCCATCTTGCATAGTTACAGGTCTGTCCAATGAGAAAAAATGCGGCGTCATAGTTGCAAGGGCAGATATATTAGAAGCAAGGGCCAATTTGTATGTTCGTTCCGCTTTGATGAATCGTAAAAATGTACTAACCATGCATGAAACCATACTGCCAACAAATTGCAAACATCTTTGACGGGGCTCTTGCGTGCGATTTGGTGACTTCAAACAGAGATGCCAGTATCGTCAAGCTCTTTCTTTTAGTTGGTTAACTCTCTCTGATACACTTCCCTCCTTCTATATGACCTCAACCTAATTAGCAATATTTTCAGGGAGACCCTCTTCTCAGGAGTCAACCCGTGTCTCCTTTTCATGCTTAGGAACAGTCTACGTTCCTGAAGCAATCCATAAATGGTGTATTTTTCTCTTTTAAAAACGAAAATAGACAATTTCACTTAATAACATGTAGCTTTTTTCTCAACGATCTCTGATTCCTATAAAAAAAAAACTCTCCGTCTGTTACGTTCATAGAGCGACTTTCTATGTGTCAAGTGCTATAAAAATGCCAAAAATGTTTTTTTAATCTATCCTTTACTTGCAAAAATTTAATAAAGGAGAACAGCTAATGCTAAACAAAGTACAGATATTTAAACTGGTTCTTTGAAAGAAAAAAGAAAAGCAATCAAAGCGCGATTTTCCTTTATTTCAAGCAAATAATTTGTCCTTGTGCGAGTAACGCGATCAGTCACGTGACATTGTTGACTCCAAAATATATAATCATCCCCTTTGTTACATTGAACATTGAGTAAGTTACCTTTTTTTTTTAGCGATTTTTAACAAAGAATTAGCAGGTAAATGGTGATTCAGGTATCAGGCTCGTTTTCATGCTGGACCGTAAGGTATGAGGCATAAAAACGCGATTTACTAGAAACCTATACCACAAATCGACCTTACAAATTATTAGGCAATGATCAGTAGGTCATGTTCTACCAAAATCCGGTATCAAGCCTTTTCTGACCCATGGGTTGAACGAATTCTAAAGAACAATTTTCCTACCTCGGCTACTGGACTAAACAGCCTGCTACATTTGGTCGTTCACATGTTTGCTTTGAATAAAGAAAACTGTGGCTGTTTTTAGGGCTTGCGCAGTACTGGTGTCCAGTGGCATGGTAAATTAAGGTTGGACCCATATCCATTCACGCCTGATGTCACGTAACTGTTATCAGACGTTATGTAACATAACATATAAAATTAGACATCATACGTGTGATAACAGTTATATGACAGCAGATGTCTGCTGTCATATAACTATTAACAGTTAACAGACGTAAATAGTTATAACATAACTGTTATAACAGTAAAATAACTGTTATATAACAGTTATATAACAACATATATAACTGTTATATAAATGTATATAACAGTTATATAACTGTTATATATACTGTTATATAACAGTTATATAACTGTTATATAACAGTTATATACAGTATAACAGTTCTTTAACTGTTATATTGCAGTTATATAACTTTTATATATAACAGTTGTATAACTGTTATATAACATTATATAACAGTTATATAAGTGTTATATAACTGTTATATATACTGTTATATAACAGTTATATAACAGTTATATACTGTTATATAACAGTATATATACTGCATATAACATGACTGTTATATATCAGTATATAATAGTTATGTAACTGTATATAAGAGCTATGTTATAACTGTTAACGTCTGTTAACTGTGATACCAGTTATATGCCAGCAGACATATATATGACAATTATATAACTGTTATATAACAGTTATATGTTATATAACAGTTATATAACTGTAACAGTATATATAACAGTTATATAACTGTTATATATATACTGTTATATAACAGTATATAACAGTTATATAACTGTTATATAACTGTTATAACATAACTGTTATATAACAGTATATATAACACTATATATAACTGTTATATGACAGTTATATAACATCAGACGCAGTTATGAATTGGATCGATGAATTGAGCAGACAAACTTAACCATCTTTTTATATAACTAGATTGTTCCATTTTATTACTATTATTTTTTAAATTTGCATTGATACAATGTCCTTGTAATTCGGAATGATCGCAAACACAAGGCTAGGCAAATTATTAGGATTTGGACAAAACGCAAGTGAAATTATTCCCTAATTTCACGAGTATACCATTTGATTACCTATTAATATCATGGGTGACGAATTACGTTAGCAATCTTGGATTTTTGACATGTTTATCCTGGATTGTATCGATCGAGAACTCCACTCTCTCAAACGTTTAGACCTCAAACTTGGCTTATAAAGTTCAGAATTTTTCCGACTATTTCGGCAAAATACCGGTCACAATCCTTCTTGATGTTCTCCTGTGTGTTCAGGTTTTCTAAAGCGTCTTTTTGTGCTCTGACATCTTCATTCAGGGCATTTTAAAACTTCGTCGCCATCTTGACACTGAGACGTACGGAAGGGTTGCCATAGCAAATTTGGAATTTCACATGTGAAATTACAAATTAACGCTGAAATTTCGCGCCAAAATTAAGGAGTAATTCGTCACCTATGATATTAAAGTAGTAATCACTACGCAACTTCAAATTTTAGAGTTGAAAGTTGATTCCTTTATTCCAGAGATTCACGAACGATGTCACAAATATAATAATTAAACAAAGTAAAAGAAACTGGTTTAGAGCAAGAAAAAACTAAAATTATTATTTAATGTAATTTCAAAAGAAACAGACTAAACAACGAACTAGTTATGACTGAAATTCGTTCCCTTTAATTTTTACATTTTTACTATATAATGTAACACAAACTTAACAAGCGAATTATGACTGGGTTCGAACAATGCAAAGACATAAGTTCTAGCCAATCACAGGGCGTAAAAAGAGACCTAGTGTAGTCGCTAAATCTATTTACAAAGAGCTGTCATTGGAACCTCAATTTTAAACGCTTCTGTCAACATGGATTTGAGTTCTTGGACTTAATATTCTTTTGTTTTATTGTTTTATTATCATTTTGCCGTACAAGTTAAATATATAGATAAATTTTAGAAATAAAAGATGACGCAAGGCAGTCCAAGTAAGAAAATGAGGCTTAATTGAATAGGACCACCTTAAAATTGGTTTTAACCTCGGTGAATAATA